TAGTTGCTTTTTGGCAGTTGCTGCAGAGGTCAATGAAACGACCCCGGCACTCGCGCTTCAAGCTCAGCTGCCTCGCATAATTGTGACACACGGAAGCAAGCACAGAGCGCGCATCATTAACCTGTGTGAAGCATTGTAATAATGAGACATCAAGTGCGCGCCACTTCCTTAGGACACGCGCTGGCCATGTTTACACCTTGTTGCAACAGCAGCAGCAGCTGCTGCTGCCAGCGCGCGCTGATTGTGCACACAAAACATGGGCAGTGGCAGGGGTAGGGGCAGGGCAGGGGCAGTGGCAGTGGCATTAGGATGTGCTGCAGCGCCGTGTGCAGTCGCTCGGAAAACGCTGTAAAGAATATATATTTTTGATTGTTAGTCAGTGGCAATCATATCCGATTACTAGCCATACACACAGCATATATGCACATGTAGGTATTTACTATAAGCCTGCCAGGCAGTCCACGTTGCTAGCCCTCGCTTCGCTCCCACTGCCAACAATGCGTGTGTTTGCTGAAATAGGTTTTACTACACACTGGCAGAGGGCATTCCACATTTGCGATGATTTTTGTAACGAACGGCGAAGGAAGCGTCTGTCTATAAAGGCGTAAAGATATAAAAAAAACTATTTTAGTTATATGTAAGATATTATTAACACTCTATCTGAGTTATGTCTTGCAATATATGTTCTTGATCTCTGTTCTAACAAGATGCAATAAAACAAATTGATAATATATAACTTTGCTGAGTCCCTGCTCTATCTTATCTTAGGTAAATATTAAAAGATTTTACAAGTGATAAGCTCTTTACTATGTTTATCTATACTTAGCTTTACATATTAGCTATTAGTAAAGTGAAAACAATCAATCAATATAAAACAGTTTCCTCTAGCACCTTAACTCTAGATTAACAGTATTTCATTTCTTCTATCATCTTAGCTAAATCTTAGCAAGAGTATTGCTAGTTCATCTTTGAAGATTTCTGCTTTTTCTTGTACATTTCGATTTCCATTTTGCCAATCTTTTTGCGACGAGCTGCCAAACAAAGACGTGGAGTGGCTGACTGACTGACTGGCTGGTTGGCTGTTTGGCTGGCTTGGTCTGGTCGGGGCTGTCGGGCTGCCTTTGTGCCTTGCGTGTCATTCCATTTCCGCCAGCGTCGCAATCGCAAATCAAACAACGGCGACAGCTGCTCCTTGGCAGCGCTTTGCATATATGCCCAGATCCTTTGCGTTTCTATATATATACAAAGGAGGGCAATCTTAATCTATATAGCTTTTGATTTGCGAATATATCGCGCGCTCGCACCGTCCCGCCCCGCCTCGCCCGTGTTCCGTTCCAAGACAAAAGAATGCGGCGTCAAAGGCCAAACGTCGAAGTAGCGCAAATCACAAATGAAGTCTTGACATGCGTGTGCTATATACATACTGCTATGTATATATGTACAGATGTGTAAGCGTTTGTATAGTAGTTGTTATTGCTGTTGTTGTAGTTGCTGCTGCTGCTGCTGCTGCCTTGCACACACACAGGAAACTGCTGAAAGGTGCAAACGAACTTCCGCTCCAAATCAGTTTTCGATTTGTTGTTTAGCCTCAGCTACAGCTGCCCCGCGCTGAAGGTTTCTTAGCCACGCGCTGCATTTGCACATTTGTCGCAGCTGAGCAGATGCAAAAGATGCTTGGCCTACTTAAGAAGCTCATCGGTGATTGACTTGGCTTGGCTTGGCTTGGCTTGCCTTGAGTAGACTTGACTTGGCCAGTGGCTAATCAATCATCATCAGGCATTTGCCCTTTTAATACGGTAGCCAAAACGACTGAAAGGCTGATTACCTAGCAAGTAGCAGACGCCGGGTTGCCTTTTGGCCCTATAATTAAGCAAGCCGTAGAAGCTGCAGTAGCCAGGACTCACAGCGACAGGTCCTGTAAGGCAAATGTGACTTTAATGAGTAAAAATGTGATAATTAGTAGACGCCAAGAGGCCGACAAATACAAAGAGGACAAAAAAAAGAAATGTTCGTAATTATAGCGAAAACCATTTGTCCGGCAAATTGCGCACTGGGCGGGCGACCCGACCGTAACAACAACAACTCAAGTTAGCTAAAGAAGATTTTACAATAATATAAATGATACAACTGCTGGCATTTTCACCTGCGGCAGTCACTCAAGCTGCTGTTCTATATAAACAATGTAAATTGAATTGGTGCGTGCAAAAATATTTTGATTCAATTAAATGGGCCTTCCATTCATGGCCATTACGGCTGCCTTCAAGTTTAGGCCAAGAACAATAAATACCAAAATGTTTGTGCATCAATTAACAGCGAATTAGCTTATGAAACAGGACATAGTTAAAGCTTAGGGTACATCGAGTTTCCAAGTAGCAAAGGATTTAAGATAAGTTAGATTAAATCCGATCAGATCATTGAAGAGCTCTCCTCTCGGCCTTTTATAAATATACATTTTGAGATTATTGGACTCTGATCCGGCCACATGTAGTTAGTTGAAATATTGTTTAACTGCTTGGAATAAAAATGTCAACAGACACTGAATGAGGGCGCACATAAAATGCATAATGGAGTGCACAGCCAGCGAAGATGTCCTTTTTTGCGCATAGCTCAGGGCCTAACAAAAAAAACAAATACACACAGACATAATCATACACACAATCATACATACATATACACACACACGCAGGCAGGCAGGCTGGCAGGCCGGCAGGCGCTGCAACAACGTAATTCAAAGGAATTTTTTCGTAGGTGTTCCACCATCAAGAGAAGCCGCCAACGCCCTACAGTAGACCCTTCTACGGCCCTGTTGACCATGTCCTGAACATTGCTCACTGTGGTCCTTGTTGGGGAGGGGCGGGGCAACATGTGTGTGAGTGTGTTAAATGTTTTGCGTCAATTTGTCGCTTTATGTTTGTGACCTACAAAAAATGTGAATGAGGCATAAATAGAAATATGCAGTATAACTGTTAAATGCCAGTGGTTTAGTGAGGGTATCCAGCGTTTACCTGGTGTGGCAACGCTGTGACGTCATGCAGTGTTCGACCGCTGTGTAATGTCATTATCAGGCTCAGCCGCAATGGGACGACAGGACGAGGGCAGTCAGTGTCCAGAGCTCAAATGTAATTCGCACACCCCGTCGTGCATGTCACAAAACAAATGATAAACATTTTATTTGTTAGAAATTGTTACGGCAGAGGCAATAGGCCCAATTTCTAGTTGCCGCCGCATCTCGTTTGATCTCTCGGTTGTGTTGTGTGTTTTTGGCCAAACCATATTTATCACAATTTCACAATGCATTTGGGTGTTCCATTGTTCCTTTGTCAACAGCTAACAATTTAATACGTAGAAGCGACAAATCGGAAGTAAAATTGTCCTATTTGATTTTTTTTAATTTAAGGAAGTGTTCATAAAGTGTGTAAAGATAATGCGAATGCAACTCTGGGTGGCGGGCGAGTGGGCAACGCTGAGGAATAAAAAATCAAACCAAAGATCGCAAAATTAAGCACAACACGGCGTTGGGAGACATTGTCGCTTAAATATATACATATATGTATATAGCATGTATAAATTTAATGTTTATGTACAGTCGTGTTAATTGTCGCTTAAGTGCAATATTAAGCATTATGTTAGCAAGCTGTGCCTGTTTCTGTGCCTGCCGTTGAGCTGAGAATTGTGTCAGTGTCACCAAACTTAAAGCGCGCCAAGTTAAAATTTCATTGCGTAAGTAGGCTGTCTAAAACACAAGACAAGTAGATAATTATAATACAGTTGCATTAGTTAAATAATTGTATTTTCCCATTTAACACGAGTCTTCAATGAGAGAATTATGCCGTTATAATTGTGATTATACGCACACATAATGCATTCATAAGCTTGTACGTGTGTGTGTGTGGTGTTGCCACCTTGTTGTGTATGAGTAGGAGTAAAAGAGGAAAGGAGTGGACACTTGCAAGTTAATGGGCACCGCAGGCGATTCGTCAATTAAAATGAATTTGATAATTACTAATATTAGACTGTCGCGAAGCTAACTAGCAGCAAACACTTGTTACCTCCCACGGCCCCCACAGCGTTGACCACAACAACCATGCTTGCGGTTGCGAGCGGAAGTAACTATTTTATTTGGCTTCCCTTTTGCCCATTTAGCTGACAAGCTTAATTTGTAGATTGTTTTTGCTTCGCTTGCATACCCTGCAGCCGGTTAATTGGAAAAGTGAGGTAGTATGTGCTTGTAGATGTTTTGGAAAAAAGTAAACATAATGTATATATTATTTATTGCATTTATAATTATTTATATTTAGTTTATTGTTTTTTTATAAGGTATGTGTTAGCCGAGTAGTTATGCATTGCCAGTTTTACATTTCATAATCGTGAATTTTAATTGCGCGTAGGCTTCATTTGGATTTTCTTGTCTCTGTCTTCGTTTTAATTAAACACAATACACATTTTCCGCCTTTTGCAGATTTTCTGTTTCTTGTTTTTTTTTGCTGTTAGTTTTTATGCGCGCCTTAATTGCTCCGCCCCGTTCGCATCTTTTGTGAACATCTTAATTACATAATAAAAATTATTTCGCTTTTGCAATTCCTCTCAGTCCCTAACTCTAGTTTGGACTTGTTTTCATAATTTTATGGCTCGTTTAGTTTTGGGGTTAAAATGAATTGTTTTTCTTGCTGATTTTGGCCAGCAGATATGATCCAATTGGAACGTGAAGAAATCTAGTGCTTTATCGTGGATGCCATTTATCATAGAAGATTGCTCTGATTGAAAACGGACCTTCAAATTGTACTATTTTTTAACTAAACTATAAAATATTTCAGGCAACAACAATTGTTTTCCTGTTCATTTAAAATATATGGTTATATATTGTTCGTTTAAACTGTAAAAACATGTTTCGGCCTGACAAAGCTTACACAGGGCCAATAAGAATATGATCTTGCTTATTAGATTTTAAAGTTAATCTTCAAATTAATTATTCTATATATATGTTTATTGTCTGTTTGCAGATGAGCGGCAAGCGTTCGCGCAGCTTCAAATGTGCGGTTCATCAACGAGATCGTGAGGTTTGCTCTGAGAACGATTTTCAGCTGGTGTTAAGCGAGCCGCCGCTCTTTAGAAAGATGGTCCATGCGGTGGCCATGGAGGTGCTGCCGGAGGAGCGTGATCGTAAATATTATGCGGATCGTTACACATGTTGCCCGCCGCCGTTTTTCATTATATTGATCACAATCGTAGAGGTGGGTTAACCTGATTTCAATTATTTGAATCGCAATTGAAGTGGAGTGAATATTGTAATTGATTTATAGCTGGGCTTCTTTGTGTATCATACCTTGGCCACGGGCGAGGCGGCGCCGACAGGTCCCATACCCAGCGATTCCATGTTCATTTATCGTCCCGATAAGCGACACGAGATCTGGCGTTTTATTCTATATATGGTGCTGCATGCTGGCTGGTTCCATTTGGGCTTCAATGTGGTCGTTCAGCTGCTCTTTGGCTTGCCCCTGGAGATGGTGCATGGATCGACGCGCATCGCCTGCATCTATTTCTCGGGCGTTCTGGCTGGCTCACTGGGCACCAGCATCTTTGATCCTGAGGTGTTTCTCGTTGGCGCCAGTGGCGGCGTTTACGCTCTGCTGGCGGCGCATCTGGCCAATGTGCTGCTTAACTATCATCAGATGCGTTACGGCGTCCTACGTTTGGCTTTTATACTGATTTTCGGTAGGGATAGCGAGGCTTTCTTACTATGATTTCTTTTAACATTTACTCTTGCAGCTTCCTTCGACTTTGGCTTTGCCATTTATGCTCGCTATGCTGGCGAGGACTTGCCGCCTGGTCAGCTGGCCGCCAGCTCGGCGGCTGTCTCCTACGTTGCCCATTTGGCAGGCGCTGTGGCAGGCTTGACCATCGGATTGCTTGTGCTGAAGAACTTTGAACAGAAGCTGCACGAGCAGCTGCTCTGGTGGATTGCATTGGGGACCTATACAGCGCTCGTTGTCTTTGCCGTCGCGTTCAATGTGCTAAACGGCGTAACTTTGTTTAGTATGCGCGTGGAGAAGATAAGGTTCACCCAAACCTACTTTAACGACTTTCAGGTCTAACTGGAAATCGAGTTCAAAATCGATATTTGTTGAAGTTTTTTGTTATTTAGTTTGTTTTCCAACTGGACAGTGAATAAGTTTATAGTTTATAAATTCTGTTTTTTTCGTTTCTATTTTTTTCTGTAAGTTCGTTTACTGCGTGCAATATACGTAAAGACATTCAGACATATATGTATTTGTATAGTATATAATATATATAGACAATCGTCCATACGTTATCTAACGCAATTCGTTCCACTTTTCGATACATACGTTGGAAAGTACAAAAGCTTGAAAAGTATCACTTCGAAAATATAGATAATTAAAATCGATGAGAACAAATGTATATTTACAATAAATTGGAACTGATTAGGTGTATTAAAAACGCTAAAAACTTGATGCTCAAGGAAAATAAATTCTTTTTTATAAACTTAAGCGGAAAAACCCGAAATGGATAATCAAGTTGAATAAAATAATGTAAGGTGTAAGAATAATAATGTATAAGTGCTATATTGAAACCGATGTATTCCAAAATTTTTCCAGAATTGTCCCACTGCAGGCCTTACATATATACAATGAATGACTTTATTCTCAAGACTACCTCAAAAATCGGTAAAAATTATATAAATCGGTTTCAAAATTTATATATATTGAAAACTGCCCTTATGACAAAAAGAAAAACATTACTGCCAGCTTTAGTAAATAAAAACAGCACCAACTAAACTATTTATAAAGTATTTTGTACATTTTGTACATAATTGAAAAGGTAAATAAAATAATCGAAATCAAATTCTTATATTACGTATTTTCATTTGGCCGGGGCTCAAGTTATGCTATATATACTTTGCAGTTTGGTCACATTGTTTTTAATGGTGAAAAAAATGCAGCGGCTTCTCTTAATTGTAAAATCTAATATAAAATTAAATCTAAACCAATCTTCAGCTAAAACATATCCTTTTGCAGTTTGGCAATGGTGTCATAAAAAACGTAGGCAAGGTATGCAACTGTGTAACGGTTTATGCTTAATGGTGAGACTTAAAATAAAAATTGATCAACATCAATTTCAAGCTTAATCAGTGCAAATAAGGGATTTAAGTTATAAAAATTGAGTGTTTTATTGTATATACATATAGCAAAATTTATAAATGTATAAAAACGTTTTATGCGCATTCTCTTTTAACTTAAAAATGGCATGCTGAGTTGCCACCTAGGTTTAAGCTTTACCATTTCGGTGTTGTCACACTTTTAATGACGTCATAAAACAGAGTGAACAGTTTTTCCTTAAAAGTGAAATTTAATACGAAAATTCAATAAAAGCAAGCAAGCAGTGCCAACAGGATGGGTATGGGAGGTAAGTCGTAACAGTTGATATTGTTTGATTTTATCTAGATATAAATAGTTCTGTACATATGTCATTTGCAAGACACGCAAAGTTTGAAAATTTCATAGTGCGATAAAAAGAACTTAACATGTATCCATCCATCCATCCATCCGTCCATCTGTATCAGAAGTTTTGTTCGCCTTTTCTTTGCTTTGCGAGTGAAATGCGAAAAACTGTAGAATTTTCATGACAGTTTCGTGCACGCACCTGCTACAAGGCTACCTGTCAGCTGCCACCTTCTACCTCGCTCCTTCCTTCCCTCCTCCTCTTCGTCCACCCAACAGCTGTCAACAAAGCGTTGCAGCTTGGCTTTTTGCTGAAACTCTTTTTTTTGTTTTGTTTTTTTCCTCGTCTTTTCACTCAGCTGCCCCAACTCCGAACGCGAACCAGTTCCCATGCTCCTTCTGCAGTTAACAAATCCCAGCGGACACGAATTTATGTTTGTTTGAGCATATTTCACCGTTAGTCATTCGTCACACACACACAAAGCAACAACAAAAAAGTAAAAGGGCAACAAATCCAATGGCGAATGGCCAAAATGATATAAGCAAATAAACTGTCCTAGAAATGGGGCGACAAAAAAATGGCTGACGCGCGCTGCTTGGACAAAGGATTCAATTGTCGTTGATTAATGTTGGGCGCGTTAATTTGTTGATGTACGCGCCTTGGTTGCCAACGATTATAAATGAAGTCAAATGGAACTACAAATCCGTTGGGGAAATACTCAAACGAAACAATTCTCTGGCAATGCTTTTATTCAGGCTTAGCTTCCAAGTTCAGCATTAATACATTTAAAGAACCAAATCAAATGAACCGAAAATGCGTGATTGAGAAGCCGGAACTAAAGTTTAGAAGAGTTGCCAACTAAATCAAATAATCATAAACAATAAGAAATAGAGCTGTGAGTTTAATGGTGAGCTAGCAGCTAGATCAAATGAACCAACAATCGGCATTTAATTGGCGATGAGCCAGTAAATAAATCATATCACTATGAAGAGACCAGACGAGTTGGAGTTCGAGGTTGGGGCTGAAGCTAAGCCGAGTTCTGTCCTTCGCTTTGGCTGCGCTGCGCGAACATGTTTATAAAAAGTACAAGTTAATATTTATGTAATTCTGCAGATACGAAGAGGACGAAGAAGCACAACAACGAAGACAGAGATCATTACATTGACATATTCATGCACATGCAGTCCAACCATGTCCAGCTGTCCAGCAGTCCAGCAGGAATGCCATCGCAGAGGCGAACAATGCAGCGGTTAGCAGGGGGCAGCGAGGAGGAACGCACTTGATGGCCATGTAAAGTGCGGACTTGTGCGTCCCACGCGAATCAACCTGCATTTGTGGCCGTGGCTGGGGCCTTTGTTTCTGCGTTGACAGCCACCGCCAGTGGAAAAGTAACTCACAGTTGCGAGCTGGTGCTGGAGCTGGAGGAGCTCTTTATCTGCGACAGTGGAATACAGCGAATTGCAGACAACTGCAGTCCATGTTCGATGCATGCTTATCAAAAGGTCTCGTGTGTAACTGTCAAAAATATATATTATAGTAGAGCTCAACTCGAACCCATTTGCAGTTAACTTCATAGTAAACTGTTGCAGCTCAGGCGTAGCAGGGTTCGGAGCCTGAGCCTGGGCAGGATACCGCCATTTATCTCGCTTGAATATGGAAATTTGTACTGCCTGGTCTAGCTCTTTTTCTATTTGCGAGGTTTCTGGTGTCTGGTGTCCCGCTAAACGCTTCATTAAGTGCTCTGGCACTGTCCTGGCAGCCAGGAGAGTCCTTATGTCCTTATGCTATAATTAATTTCTGCAACCTGAATATGCATGGCGAAAAAAACGGAAGTCCTTAGCCCAAGTGCCGTCCACAGGAAAAGAAAGGCCTGAAAGAGTCTGGCCGCTTGACCTCGCTGCCAAAGGACATGGGACAATGGACTCTCAGCTTTGCAAAATGTATATAGGTACAGGCGACAGCAATGAGTGTATAATGAGGTCTGGCTAGTGTAACCACAAACAAGGATTTCATTTGGATAGGCTCGGAGGTAAAAAGGAGCTGGCCAGGATAAACAAATTAGCGTTGGGTCTTCTGCCCTCAACCCATTGTCAGGACGCGAAATCAAAGTGCTGCGGGCCACATCTAATCTATGAGTCGTCCAACCAACCCCCACCCGAATAATATCTACGGGCACCGTCATATTGAATTTCTACACGGGACTGCGTGGGCTTTTAGCTTAATTGCTATTAGGACCTTTGGCTGCAATCGAGGTCCTTCCGCTGACCCAGCCATATGAGCTCATTGGGGCTTGAAAGCCGCAGTCAAACACTTGCGCCCCCGCTCCAAACTTCAACTGGACTTAATTTTCGTTTTCGTTTGCGCAGGAGGCGCCGCTGGCGACAGCGGCACCACCTGTGCGTGTCGCCTGGCAATTTGGGCTGTGGCGTTCCTGTATGCTGGCGCAGACAACAAAGGATTTGCCGTAAGATAGGGGGCGGGGCGCAAAAAAGCTATCGCAGACATTTTTATAAGCAGAACCTGGGAATGGTACTGCCAAAAGGGTATGATGGACTTAGAAATTGATGAAGGTTATAGTTAGCTCTCTTCGTGTTTGTTCTCGTTTTGGCTGGAGCTGTTTATCTGTTTTTGTTAGCTTAATATTTTCCTCCACTTCATACCTCTTATAAGTAGCAAATGAATCTTCAATTTGTACTCATAGAACGCTCCCCTAGTATACAGGGTATCTTATAGTCGAGTCTCTACTTCTTGCTCTCCCTCACACCTATTATCACATGCTAAAATCCCAAGCGTTAGCGTGTTGAGTTGTCAATGTAACGGGGTATACGCCACCCCAATAGGGTGTGCCGCCTAATTGGCAGGATACGCGACGCCCAACGAGTCAACTGAATGTCAATTCCGGCTCCGTTTTCGACTCCGATTGTCAAGCTTGAATCAAGGTCGCCGTATGCTTGAATTTAGTGTCGATTTATCGAATACATTTTCCTTTATGTATTTTGGAATGAAATGTTTTGAACGATGAACGAGGAAGAAACAGGTGCCCAGACTGTGGAGGTGGCGCGCGTCCCGCCAAAGATCACGTATACCAATTTCAATAATGAGTCCGAGCTGAAGGCCATACAGGGCCTGATCGATAAGGAGCTGTCGGAGCCGTATTCCATCTATACGTATCGCTACTTTGTCTACAACTGGCCCGAGCTGTGCATCTTTGCCCGGCACGATGAACTCTATGTGGGGGTCGTCGTGTGCAAGCTGGAGACGTTAGGCTGCATTCTCCAGGGATATATTGCCATGCTGGCCGTCGATCCCGCATATCGGCTGCTGAAAATTGGCACCTCGCTCGTGGCACAGGCTGTCGAGTCAATGCAGTCAGTGAATGCGGATGAGATCGTGTTAGAGACAGAGTTGACCAACAAGGCGGCGCTGCGTCTGTACGAGAGTCTGGGCTTTATACGGGAGAAGCGTCTGTTGCGCTACTACATGAACGGGGTGGACGCACTGCGTCTCAAGCTGTTCTTGCCCTGGCGTCAAGCGTGAACCACTAAAAATTCTTGTATTTCACTCAATTTTCAGTTTGATTTTATTGTTGCGTATTTTTTGTATCATTTTGCTTTTGGCTGAAAGATAAGTAAGGTTTATTTCTTTCTAGCTCTCATTTGCTCTCTTTCTTTTGCTGCTGTCAATTAGCGCCCCCCGCAGCGACTATTCCGCTAGTCGGCTAGCCCTTGGTCCAGGTATCCTTCCAGCTTAATTGAGTGCAACAGGGATGCCTCACACATAACCTTTGATTACCCTTTGCCCTGACAGCCGCCTCTACTGCTGCTGCTGCCGCTGCCGCTGCTGACTGCTACTCATGATGGGATAATTGCCCATTTCAGGGTCACATCAAATGCCTTTTGGGCTAAGGAGCTGTGTTATGCGTGCTACGAGCACTTATGATAAGGATGCGCCCGCTAAGAGGTGGTCCTTTGGCATCTCGCTTAATTGGTGAAAAACAATAACAGGCTACTTGCTTGCTGGAGAGTCGTCTTTGATTTCTCCTTTAAGTCAATAGACATCAAGTAGAGTTCAAAATGCAGCTAGTTTCAGAAATATCAACTGATCCTTTATCCATTTTGTGTGCCTTATATAAGAATGTTATATATGTAAAGGTACGTTGCGTACGTTAGATATATGTTTTGCCTTTCTATGAGATTCTCAAAAGTGCATTCAAGACGATTTGCTTTCCCTTTCTCATTGCCTGTTTCTTTCTTATCCATTCACTCCCTCTCTCTGTCGCTTTCCCCTCTCCACATCTTAAACCCTTTATCTCATGTTCCTATCTTGAATTGCCTTAAGAAATAAGCAACTGCTACATTTCTTGCTTTGCTTTCAGTGTTGTATAAACATAAATGAAACATGATATTCTCTTGTTGGTGCACGGACCAATTTGTGGGTAAGTCCATAAAAACATAAACAAATTAAACACGTAACAATAATATTTATGTATGATTTACAAACTGGCCAAATTTTCGATGTGAACATCAGAAATGAAAAGCGAATCTTTGTCAGGCCAAATTTGTGCGCTTACAATGAAATGTTTATGCATATCTGCATATTATTATTGCCATTATGTTGTATATAACTGAATATTAATTAAATATTCAGAAATTATTCAGTCCGCATAATCAAAGGAGCTCAAAATGATTCTCACAATTCTCGGCCAGCTGGTTAGCATCCATAATCAGGGACACTTGATTGCATCTGGTAATTATAACTGCATTTGCATCGTATCATTGCCAATTATATAATCCAAACACACACACACACACACACACACACACGGGCAGGCAGATAGTATGGAGAGCTTTGGGATTTGAGGTCATTGTCATTTTCGGATTGTCGTTTGCGAGTCGTCCAAGCAAGCGGCAAATGCCCAGAACAACTTTGGGGGGTGGTCAGGATAACGTAGCCGTTGTGCGTCCCCTGCTAATGCCACTATCACAATGCACTGAGAGAAAGCAGCTAATAAGTCAAATACTCAAAAGCCATTTCGATCAAGTTGTGAGTAGCTCTTTTCTCTGAGTGTACAAACAGCTGAGATTTATGTGCAGCGGGCGCAGACAGAAGCTGACATCAAATTGAAATTCAGGCAAATGTCAACGGCAGCCGCTAGCCGCCAGGCACAAGGCACACGAAGGCGCAACGCAGGCGAGGCGAAGGCGAAGGCGATGGCGACTCGAGTTGACTTGCGTTAAGCCAAAAATCCACATAAATAACGCGAGCAACGGGCGTCGGTCATCAGAGAAGCCCCTGTCTCCCGGCGCCCGCCCTCTGCCAACTGCCGCCCCGCTTACCCCAAGCACAGTTTGTGTGTCCCTGGCAGAAGTCGTTGGGCTTGTTTCTGCGAATGGCAGGTGCAACTCAATCAACGCCGCCAGTCGAGGCGCAACGTTTGCGTTGCATGGCATCTGGTCGAGTCAGCGGGCAGCTCCATCCCAGCTTCCCAGTCTCAGCGCCAGCTTCTTTGGCCACCTGCCCCAAAATGTTGCCAACGTAAGGTGAAGCCGTTCTCGCTCTCGCTCTCGAGTGGCTCAACTGAGGAAGCTGCCCGCTGGCTGTGGTCCATCTCAAGTGGGTATCAAAAGATCAACGATCGTCAGAGGGCAAACCAAGTGGCGATCGAGTGTTTTGCACAGCTCTAATGCTAACAAATAGAGGTTCAAATTACGCACGGCCCATCAACAAAGTTGCATCTTCACGCTGCGTCGCTCAGTCGAAGGTTGGAGAGCTTAACGGAAATCGTATTGCCATGTGGAGCTACTCAGCGTTGGGAACAGTCTAACTGGTGCAACATCCAATAGTTCATTTCAAATGGTGAAATGAACTAGTTTGCCTCAAAGTTCCATTTGCGAACTAGTTTGCCTCGAAGCAGTGTTTCCTATAGCAAAGAAGTCAGATTCGGAGCAGAATAGGATGGCTGGCATATCCTATTGATAGTTCCTTGACCTCCATAGATGTTTTCCCAACCAAATTGAATAATTTCACTTTGAATTGCATTATTAATTTAGACATTTATTTTGTTTAAGTTTTAAATTTTTATTTTCCATTTTTTCATTGCTATTTTTGTCTCGTTTTTTTTTGACACAAACTCGTGTATGTATATAGATTTTGGGGGCGTTACAGTTTGTAATGGGCGTGGTCACAACTATTTTTTTTTAGCTTAGCTTTTATATGAGGGGCGCAGGGTGGGGGTTAAGTTGGGTTTTTGGACTTTTTTTGGCTTACGCTTTGCTGAGTTTTACGCTAGATTAACTCTTGATTTGATTTGTGAATATGCAGATATATATATGTGTGTGTATATATATATATATTTGTCGGTCAATATGTCAAGATGTAACCGACGTGAATATGAATTTCAATTTGAATTTGAGTTAGGAAAAAATGCTTGCATTTTATTTAGAGTTTTTTATTACATTTATTTTGTTTAATATTTTCTTTGGCTTTCTTTTTTCTTTTTGCATTCATAAATATTTGTGTTTAAATTTTGAAATTTTTTTTTTAATTATTGTTTGCTGTGGTTTTTTTTCCTTTTTTTTTTTGACTAGTGTGCGACTTAATAATATTTACAATTTCAATTTGTTATGGGCTAATTAGGCGTAGCTATATGTCTAGGGTTTTATTTTGTTTTGTATTTGAATAAATTAAATGTTCTATAAATATAAACAAAGAGTTTCTGTTGCAAAAATCCTATTAATAAGTTAAGACAGCAGACGAGTAAATAAATAAAAAGTGAAGAAAATTATAAACATTTTCGTTTTTCTTATAGGAAATCATAGCGAGCGGCGTTTAGTTATAGTTTCTCCGCTTTAGTGCGGGGATTTTTCCCTTTTTCCTTTTTTTCCTTTTTAGTTTGAGGTTGGGGTTTCGCTCTTGATTTGTGTTTTTTTTTCTTTACACGCAAAATAAATTCAGTCTTTGGTTCTATCACAACATTTGTTTACACGTTTCGGCCCGTTCTTTGAGTGTGTTTTCTGCTTGTTCTTTCGGTTTTGTTTGTTGTTTTGCTGTTCTGTTCTGCTTTTCGGTTGTTCTGCGTGAAATGTTAGAAAATGAAACGCGTAACGCAATGCAACGGAACGGAACGGAAAAGTAAAGCCGAACGAATTTTGAATTTCAGTTTAAAACTAAAATCAAAATTTTACTAACTTTTTGTTTTTGTTTTTTTTTTATCTATGTCTATGTTTCTCTCCTGGTATATATATATATATATATATATATATATTTTCGATGTATATATACTATATATATATATTTTGTATTTGGCTAACTGCTTAGGATACACCCAAGTCGTGCAGCAAATGTTGTGTGATCACCTCGCCCTGCTCCTCCATCAGCTGCGCCGTCACAGTGTTGATCAGATTGAAGGCAATCGCGAAGACAGTGAAGGCACAGTAGACGCCCAGTGCCAGCCACCAAATCAACTGCTCGTATTCCCGATGGCCGAAATTCTTGAGCACCAGGAAGCCAATGGTCAGGCCAGCTAGGGCGCCAGTCAAGTGCGCTATGTACGAGACCTGCGGGCCCTTGGCGAAGGTGGGCGTGGCAGCGGCATCAAAATATTGCGTATACAAAGCATAGCCCAGATCACAAGAGACTGCAGAGAGCAAGAGAGAGAGAACGAAAAAGATATTTTATAGTTAGTTTAAGTTTCTTAAGAGCCAGTTCGTATTTGCTACTCACCAAAAATGACCACAGAGCCCAGCTGCGTGGATGCGGACTTCATGTGCGCATAGTTGAGCGTTATGTTGGCCAAGTGGGCTGCCAACAAGGCGTAGACACCGCCACTGGCGCCCACCAGGAACACCTCAGAGTCGACAACGCTAGTGCCCAGCGAGCCGGCGAATACGCCGGCCAAGTAGATGACGCCGATGCGTGCCGTGCCGTGCATCACCTCCAGCGGCACACCAAAGAACAGTTGTATTATAATGTTGAAGCCCAAATGGAACCAGTTCGCGTGCAGGAACATGTAGCTGAAAAAACGCCAGACTTCGAGGCGGCGATCGGGTCGATAGACGAGCACCGAGTCGCTGGGTATGGGCACCGGCTGGCCAAAGCTTTGGGCGGGCATTGTGTAACGGTCATAGGCGAAGATTGCAATCTGCAAAAAGAAAGCACAAATAGAAGAGCGCATTAGTTAAAGTTGTATTAGAAGTTGGAGCTGGAGTTGGAATTGGAATTAGGGTGGCTTTGATTTATGTTGTTGTTGTTGCTGTCGCAACACGCGACGTCAAACTTCTCCTTGTGTCCCACATAGACAAACACAAGTACAAATACGCACGCACACACACACGTACACATGTACATATGCACGCAGACACAGCAAAGCCTAAATAGAAGAGAGAAGTGCTGCCAAGTCCTGCCAACTTTATTTTGGCTAGCGCACTCGCTCTAACACGCTGTCACGCCCGCAGTCTGACTCACTCGCACTTGCTCTGTCTGTTTCTTCGTTTAGTTTTTATGATTGTTCCGTTTTTCTGCTGCTGAGGTTGTTGTTTTTGTTGTAGCTTGTTTACAATCGATTTTGGGGGCGCCAGGCAGGCAGCCAGAGACGTGTCTGTGTGTGCATGCACGTGTGCGTGTGTGTGTGTATGTAAGAATGCGCAAAAGAAAGCAGCAAAATTTTATCGCTTTTAGTTGGAAGTTGAGAATTTGTAAAGTTCTTCAACGAATTTTTATTGCATTTTGCGGTTCTTTGATTCAATAATAATAATAAATTATCAACTAAGGCAGCAACAAAACAACGGCAAGAACTATGACTATTATCTATGAGAGGGTCTGCACTTGTTGTTGTTATTCCTCACTTCAAAAACAAATGGACAAACGGAAATGAAATGCTAGAGCTGGAACTGTGAACTAGTAGTAGTTCCTGCTGCAAGCGTGTGTATTCAATAAGGAAATGGAAATGGAATAAGATTGGTTTCTATTGTTTTGAATGTTTGAAGATGGGAATGACTAATGGGGGAACAAAGTGAAATGGAACCCTCTTCTTCTCGTTCTTGCGTGTATTTCAATTCAAAATGGAATATGAAAGACATCTCACTCACTGTCTCCCGACCTCCCTCCCTCCCACTTGCACCCGCCTTGTCTTTGTCTTCTACTCACCTCAATGACGGAGATCATCAGAATGAACCATGGCCAATGTTTGCGATGCTCGAATTTGAGCATCATCAGCTCATCTGTTTCCATTGGTGGCATGTTGCATGTTGTTGCTGTGTTTGCTGCTGTTGCTGCTGCTGCTGTTGTTGATGCTGCCGCCGCTGCTGCTGCTGCTGCTGTTGCTGATGAACATGTTGCTGCTGTTGTTGTTGTAGCAGGCAGCTTGTGCTGCATGTAAATGTGCTCGCCCTGGCGGGTGCAGCAAGTGCTGCTCGCCGTGCTGCAGTCCGTGTCATAGGAGGAGCAGGCAAAGGAACTGTTCGAGGAGGCAAAGGCGACGGCAGCTGGAATGTCAATGATGGTCGCCGCTGTTGCCGTTGTCGCCGCCGTTGTCTGTGGCGCTTCCAGTTGCTGCTGCTGCTGCTGCTGCTGCTGTTGCACGCCCTCTTCCTCCTCATCCAGCTGTAGCTTTGTGTGGCTTTCTGTGCTGTTTGTTGTGGCGTCCATTTTTTATGTACTTCTTTCCCTCTCTTTTTTATGCGCTTTACAAAAGTCTTTTCTTTGCTTGTTTTTCTTCTTCTGCAAGAAATAAACGGGAATAAAAGTTTATAATTAATTAAGTGTGGCGGACAATAAACAAAAAAATCAATTAAGTACATAAATTATTCATAAAACAGAAGCCGAAGTAAAAGAAGCAGAGGCAGGCAACGACTGCCGCATACCCTGTAAAGCGGCTTACAGATAGTGTAGTCTCACTAAGAAGTTGTAAAGCTTTTATATAAATATTTTGGATTATATGTTCTATACCAATTATATGTTTTTATATGTCTAAAACCTATATACCCCTTATTGTCAGGCATTGCAACCATAATTCTTAGTTGTTTAGTTATTTTTAATTTCAATTTCAATTTTACTTGTCTTTTACTTTCAATGTTTAGTAATTGAAACCTATATACCGTCCCGAAGTCGATTTACAGGGCAACGGCAACAACAACAATTACACAACTTGAAAATTTCTTTCTGCCAGCGAATTGTTTATTGTCGGCAACTTGGAAACTTGCATTCCTAGCGAACGTAACAGGCTCCCCCATTTCTAGAGGCCCCCCTCTCACTCCCTCTCCAGTCTGCCGTCTGCGTCTGCTTCCGCTTGCAACAGCCGCCGCCCCCGCTTCGAGTGTCTGTATGTTTGTTTGTATGTGGGTCAGCAGTAACATCTCCGGCCTCAGAGGCCCATAAAATTTGATGGTCTTGCTCTTGCCTGGCCCGCGTCGTCCTCCCACGCCTCTGCCGCTAAGGGCGGGTTGGCAACTAAACTTAGCCAAAGGCGCGCACGTCGTGAAACTAGCTGAAGGCGACGTCATTTTCTTACCCACCGCCCCCAACCCCTGTCCCCCTTCTATAATGTAACTTCAGTTGGGAGCTTCAGTGTGTGGTACCCTAAAAGGACAGTTCAGAGTAAAAATTGCTGCTTAGATCTAAACTATGCGTGCCTACAGTGAACACTCGACCAATGAACACTACATATGCAGAGTAAAGTATTTCTGTTTCTTACATTTACTCTTTCTAAATATAAGTATGAGTATTGTATTGTTCGCCGCAGCGAGTTTCTACTGTATACTGCTGACATAACTCCAAGTTAATGCTTTAAAGTTTGTTGCATTTAAGACATAGCCAAATGGCTTTTAATATTTTGTTGCAACAACAGCAACAACGACAATGCGAAGGCCATCTGGCTAATGAGCCAGCCAATCAGCTAATAAACGAAATTGTTGTCAATTTTTGGTTGAAACAAATTATGTTAATCGCATTCGTTTCAATTACGAGCAACCGCTAATGACATTTTTGTCGGTTGAAGAAGAAAATAATTAGAAATCAAAACAAATTGAAGCTGAAATTGAAATTGAAATTGAAGCAGAAATGAAATGAAATCTTTCTTTATTCACATTTGCACGCCCAAATTGACTTATAATTCTGAATTGTTGTTGTTTTTATAAGTCGCTCAACAATAGGCAAAAGAAAAAAGTTTCAAATTTAACGGTTGCACAATACACACACACACGCACACAAAAGCTGCGCTCACTTCCTCTCGCACCCACACAGGCACACATAAACCTTGGTTTGTCTTAAAGTTGCGCTCACTCACTCGCATATTTTAGTAGTTATTGCAATTATGCTTGTGTGTGCGTGTGTGTGTGCGCTTGTCTGTTTGTGTGTGGGAGCGAAGCGAGGCTCGCAGCTCACTTCTAACTGTGCATGTTTGTTGTTGTCTTGCTTGGTTGCCTAGCAGCAAGCGGGGGCCGCTTTTTGTTGTTTGCTTCAGTCTCTTTGTGTGTATGTGTGGCATTTCAATATGGCACGAAATCGCAGTTGCTGCTTATTAATAAATTAATTTATTAATTTTTGTTTGTTTGTTAATTTTTGCGCAAGTTGCACCAAATAAGCAAAGAGCATGAAAAATTCGAAATTTTTGCTGCTGCTGCTGCTCGCGTGTTGCACGTTTGCCAATTAACAGCAGACAGCAGAGACATGAGACATGAGACATGTTGCGTATGAAATGAAATTAACTCAAACTCGTCTCTGGTCAAACGCCAATTGCCGCCGTCGCATTGTTTCACATGACCCTTTCGCTCTCGCGCTCTCTCGCTTGCACTTGCATTCAGCTGCCATGTTTGCTACATTTTTGCTACACTTGCACCTTGCTGCCACCCCTAAGCAACAACAATAAAAATGCAACGCGACTTGCAACAACTGTTGAGTTGAACAAACTCATTACGCGTTGTTGCACGCTGCACTTATTTCTGTTTTCCGTCTCTCTCTTTCCCCCCTTTTTTCTTGTCTGTGACAATTTCTTTAGCAATTTTTGTCATTAAGGTCAAACTTGGTTGTCTTCTTCTTACCTTTATATAGTGTATTTTCTATATTTTTGATAAATATATTTTATATATATTTTTTTGGTATCGCCTTCGTTTATCCAAAATGAGCGCCTTTAATCCAATTGCTGCTTCAGTTAGTTCGAGTATTTTTGTTGTTGTTGAAGCTTTTCACTTTGTTTTTGTGGCTGGTTGATTGAAATTTTGAACTTTGTTTTAATGCTCATAAAATTCATTTTGAGCATATAGCGAAATATTTATTATTGCTTTTTCTTTTCTCACTAACTCACGCACCTAAACGCACTTTGTATTTTTTATTTTTCTGTTTCGAATTTTTTGTTGTTTATCGTTCCGCTAGCCGTTAACTAAATTCGAGTCTCACGCAATTCGACTGAATTTTTCTTATTTCTTATTTCTTTCAACGATGCTCTCGCATTCGCGTCTCGCACGCAACTAAAGCAGCTCCCAGCAAGTTCGTTCTTTAAATAGCTGGCCGCGCAACTTCTCGCATACGACTCTATGCAGTTGGGGGTGGGTTGCCATCGAACTGTCAGGTGAGCCCAGAGAGCAGGAGCGTCAGAGAGAGAATCGAACCAGGCCGGTTGCAACCGCTGCATTTACGCTCGTTTCGAAAGGTTTTTTATTCTTTATATTTGAGTTTGACAATTTTCTTATACTTGCCCAAAGCTGACTTGACATAGAGAGAGACAGTGAGTAAGAGAGCGATCGGTTCGAACACGCTTCAAACATGTTGCATGTTGTGTTTTCGTTTTGTGTGCACGAGAGCGTAAGCGTATAAGAGTAACATTCTAGCCGTCTGCAACATGCATGTCCAGCAAATCCGGTCTTTTAAACTTGAATTCCATGTGTAATACACCAAGCGTCCGTCTTAGTCGCATTCCATTGATACCATTCATACCATGCAAACGTATACAAAATGCAGCGTTTACCTGTGCAATTCCGTTGCGCTGTTGCCGTGGTTCGATTGATTATGCGTAATGTGCGCTTAGCTAATCGGCTGGCAATGCGTTGAGCAACGCATAACGGTATGATTCATAGCTGTTTTTACCACTGTCATTGACTTGATCAGCTTTTGTGATGAAATCTTATGAGTTGTTCAAGCTTCTAGGGGAACGTTGCCAACACGCGACCTTCAGAATAAGTAAATTGAAACTTTCTTTGTTTTCAGGGAGGGGAAATTGAGTGAATAAAGTGTTGAGCGAGGGCGGCTTGAAATATTATAGATATAACAGAAGATACATTACAATTATTCATATAAATTATAAAAACTTCTATATATATTATGAGAAATGAAATATTTTTCTAGTCTTTATTCTGTTATTCTCAATTTAAGGTCCAACATTACATCAGGCTACCCTCGAATGCATATGAATATAGTCAAATGTCTGATCCATAGGAATATACATATAATACATTACCTCAATCTCAGCTTTCTCTATTTCCCCCACCACTGAGTGATCAAATCGGGAAGGTATTTAATTTCACACCTTCACTAAAGGGAAAGGTCTACTGAGATAGGAATCGGTAGCAAAAATAAATATTTATACAAATTATTAGTGGTAGAGGATGCATTGGGCCTTTGAGCCGGAGGCAGTTTAAGCCTTCGCATGAAAATGCCACAAAATGTTGCACAAAAGGAGTAGCAGAGTTGCAGAGTGGCTCAAGGCAGCGAGTTGCAGGATCAGAAGAACGTGCGGTACGTGTTTTGCATGATAAGCCGGGAATTTACACAGATGCCCAACAGATAAGACGGCACACACACACACTCTCTCTGCTCTTCTCTCGCACTGCATGAAAAGTGAAAACGCGTTTTCCAAAACATTCACCGAGTGCGTTTTTCACACACCAAATCACCCGCAACTCTTCTCGGCTGAGATTTATGATGACTTTTTAACATGTGCAACAGGTAAGCCCGCAGAGCGCAGGGTGTGTGTGTGTGTGAGAGAGAGAGAGACTGACCATGGCTATGACCATGACCATGACCAGGCACGTCATCGTAAATCCTTTTTTCCCACGTTCTCTCAAATATCTGGGAGGCACGTCCCAGTCACCTTTTAGCCTCCACACTTTAGCGGACGCAAGTTGCAAGTCGCTGTGGCAGGCACAGGCACAGGCACAGGTACTCATAATTGCCGCCTTAGTGGGCGTGCGGGCGTGGCTTGGCGAGCTGCACTCGGGGAATTCCTCGTCGCATCGTTTTTCCCACTGCTGCAACGGCAACATGTGCGTGCCACATGTGCGATTCAGGAATTTCCGCACAGGAAGATTGCTGCAGGTCCTGCGTTGTCCTCGCTCCTTCCGTTGCATTGCGGATTTTCATTTGAATTGCTCAACGCGTTTTTCGCGACTTCGACTTTTGTGTTGCACTTGTCCGAAAGTTCCCACAAACTATGTGCGACTCTCTGTGTGTGAGTGTGTTTTTCCCGCATTTGAAGTCATGTGTCCTGCATAAGGATAACGAGTCTGCAACGATACCATGCAGGGGCGCGTCTCGCGAGCAAGTTCCCAGAAGGAAACGCAGATGCAGGCGACTAGTCCTTGGGTGGCACATGATTCGAACACGATGCGGCATTAATATTTGATAGGCGAATGCAAAGCCATGCAAAGGCTGCAGAG